ATGGTCACATGTCCTAGTCACATGTGCCAGAGTTCAAGGAAGTAAAGGGAAATGGATTAATCTGCCCTTAGTAAAAATGGCAGCTGTGAGAAGACTGGGGAGGAAAAGAGAAATAAGGTCTACAAAGAATACAAAGCCGGCAATTATCTAACAATATTTTTAAAGGGCAGGTATTAAAATTAACGACTATCGGTGGAAATCCAGGCTATGTGGAATAGCATAGAAAACAGTTACTGTATATACAGTGTGTGTGTGTATATGTGTATATATATATATACACACACACACACACACACACACACAGTTGTGTGAAAAAGTGTTGGCCCTCTCCCTGATTTTCCATTGTTTTGCACATTTGTCACACTTTAATGTTTCAGATCATCAAATTTAAATATTAGTCAAAGATAACACAAGTAAAACACAACATGCAGTTTTTAAAAGGAAGGTTTTTATTATTAAGGAAAACAAAATCCAAACTCACATGGCCCTGTGTGAAGAAGTGTTTGACCCCCGCCAAAACATAACTTAACTTTGGTTTATCACACCTGAGTTCAATTTCTCTAGCCACACCCAGGCCTGATTACTGCCACACCTGTTCGCAATCAAGAAATCACTTAAGTAAGACTTGACTGACAAAGTGAAGTAGACCAAAAGATCCTCAAAAGCTACACATCATGCCGAGATGCAAAGAAATCCAGGAACAAATAAGAAAGAAAGTAATTCAGATCTATCAGTCTGGAAAAGGTTATAAATCCATTTCTAAAGCTTTGGGACTCCAGCGAACCACAGTGAAAGCCATTATCCACAAATGGCGAAAAACATAGAACAGTGGTGAACCTTCCCAGGAGTGGGCGGCCAACTAAAATTACCCCGAAAACGCAGCTACAACTCATCCAAGAGGTCACAAAAGACCGCACAACAACATCCAAAGAACTGCAGGCCTCACTTGCCTCAGTTCAGGTCAGTGTTCATGACTCCACCATAAGAAAGAGACTGGGCAAAAATGGCCTGCATGGCAAAGTTCCAAGACGAAAACCACTGCGGAGCAAAAAAGAACATAAAAGCTTGTCTCCGTTATGCCAGAAAACATCTTGATGATCCCCAAGACTTTTGGGAAAATACTCTGAACTGACGAGACAAAAAGGTGAACTTTTTGGAAGGTGTGTGGGACACACATCTGGCGAAAAGGTAACACCGCATTTCAGAAAAAGAACCTCATACCAACAGTAAAATATGGTGGTGGTAGCGTGATGGTCGGGGGCTGTTTTGCTGCTTCAGGACCTGAAAGACTTGCTGTGATAAATGGAACCATAAATTCTGCTGTCTACCACAAAATCCTGAAGGATAATGTGCGGCCATCTGTTCGTGACCTCAAGCTGAAGTGAACTTGGGTTCTGCAGCAGGCCAATGATCCAAAACCCACCAGCAAGTCCACCTCTGAATGGCTGAAGAAAAACAAAATGAAGACTTTGGAATGGCCTAGTCAAAGTCCTGACCTGAATCCTATTGAGATGCTGTGGCATGACCTTAAAAAGGCAGTTCATGCTCGAAAACCTTCCAATGTGGCTGAATTACAACAATTCTGCAAAGATGAGTGGACCAAAATTCCTGCACAGCGCTGTAACACTCATTGCAAGTTATCGCAAACGCTTGATTGCAGTTCTTGCTGCTAAGGGTTGCCCAACCAGTTCTTAGGTTTAGGGGGCAAACACTTTTTAACACAGGGCCATGTGGGTTTGGATTTTGTTTTCCCTTAATAAAAACCTTCCTTTAAAAACTGCATGTTGTGTTTACTTGTGTTATCTTTGACTAATAGTTACATTTGTTGATCTGAAACATTAAAGTGTGACAAACTGGCAAAACAATGAAAAATCAGGAAGGGGGCCAACACTTTTTCACACAACTGTATATACATATACACACATATATATTCAGGCATAGCAAATGTACAAGTAGTGTACGGCACCAGGGAAGGAGAAAAGTGGGCATATCAGGGTAATAAACCATCTCATCTCTGAGATGTGAATGACAATTTGGTTAGGATATGGAGTATGAAGTGTAAAAGGATTACAAACCCTTTTCCCATGAAGACTAGAACGAGTCCTCAGGGAGACACAAAATTTCCATAGACTGTCCCAGAGAAATAACAGGGAGAATAGCATTGGAAATACCATGATATAGGAAGAATTTCAGTGGTAGTCCAAAAATTCACAAAATGATGACTGTAGTAATCAGGAAATCCCAGGTGCAACAGTCTCCAGTGGGATGTTTGGTGCAGAACCAGCCCTATCAATGCTCAGGGGTAGTGGAGAAATGCACTTCGTCATTAGCAAGGATGCACATTCTTGCTGTATAGGCCATAGAGTAAAAAGTATTTTCTCCGAGCTTCCATTCTGCCTCAATAAAAAATAGTTCTATGCTTTTGTAATTCCATGAAAAAAGTCCAGTGGTATGTTCAAAAGCAATAGCGCATTTCTGTCAGGCTTTGGTTAGAATGAGTTCACGGTTCTTGCAATTTAGTAGTCTAGCAAGGAGAGGTCTGGGTGGAGCACCTAGAGATGGGGGTTTAGCAGGCACTCTATGCACTCTTTCGACTGCAAAGACCAACATTTTTGCTGTAGAAGAACATATCTAATTTTTAAAAGAAATATCATGTTGGAAGAGTCTGCTGGTACATTGTAGTCTGTGACCCTCTGGATACATTCCCACTCCTTAAAAGGAGAACTATGAGGTGAGTGATTTTCAACCTCATAGTTTGAGCCAACGTGTGACAATGAAACTGTCACACGTCGGCTCAACAGATCGCGAAGTGAGAGAACACATACCGTCGCTCGCTCACTTCTCGATCATGTCCCTGCAGAGAGTCGTGACTGTCACTCACGGCTCCCTGCAGGGATTGCCCCCCCTCCCATCCTCAAGCGCTGACTGGTGGAACAGATGGGGCGGGTACAGCTGGCTCTGCCTCTAGATAGGCAGAGCCAGCTGTCACTCACGCAGCTGGGTGGATCTCGACAGTAATGTAGGGATCAGTCCCGGCTGCGGCAGTCTCAGTATACCACGAGCTGTAGCTCGCGATATACTGAGCTTTGGGTCACGGGAGGACGCTAGTATATGTCCTCCCGTGACCCTTGGGAGAACTATGGGGAAAAACAAACACTTACCCCATAGTTCTCCTTTAAGGTCTCTGGAAAGGTGCAGTGTAACACCACATAACTTAAACCAATTAAACTTAAGGAAACAAAAACCTTTAGTCATTTTTACTTTTTAAGAGGAGCACAGCATTTTAATGAGCGCATATTCTTATGGAAGTGTTTACCTTGATGTAATTTGATGCGGCTTTTATATTTTCACAAGCTTACTCTTCCACCTTGTATTATTTTGTTAGCTGGATGATTTGAAGATGATCCACTAGAGGGGGCTACCATGGGTTCAGTGCAATTACACTGTCTCCCTTTTACAACTACAACTTTAAAAATCAGCCACATAGGGAGCAAGCTGCTTTTAATTAATTGGCCCACTCAAACATGCACTGTGAGAAGGAGCAGTAAATACATCATACCAGCATGCAGCACTGCAAAGCCGAGCCTTCATGAATTAAGCAAATATGACTGACCCCATGTGCATATCCAACTACAAATTATAGACAGAAACAAGGTTTTCAAAACATTAACGCTTATTGATGAGATTATGTGCGATAAGATGAATGTCCTTTCTTTTAGGTTATAACATACCTATGCCCAGATGGGTGTTTATAGACGCATATCTTGCAGTCCCAGTAAGATTCTTATTCTCTCTGTAAGGTATGTGTTGATGTGTCCGAGCATCCCGATACTTCTTGGCAAGACCAAAATCTATTATATACACCAAGTTGCCCTTCTTCCCGAGTCCCATTAGAAAGTTGTCTGGCTTAACATCCCGATGAATGAAGTTCTTGGAATGGATGTACTCAATACGGCTGATCTAGTAAAAATACAAAGAAAACAGGTTACAGGGAACTGTGCATACTAGAGAGCTTCCACCAACAGATTATAATTTTATATTTACTCCAAGCACCTACTGTTTTGCCAATTATAACTTACAAAGTGAGTAATCTGCCTGTCACATTCCAATATAATATGTAGACTTTAAAATAACCTTCATCGTCAACTTCCTTTGACTAACTCGACCACTATATTCACAATATTTGAGCAAAATCCTGCAATATCTACTTGCACCTGACTGCTTTGTAAGTAAATATGTGAAGAAAAGGCTGAAATTAGTTGTTAGAATATCCATTTCGCTTGACGACAAATTACTGAAATGCCACCATCAAGGTTGAAGCAGGTGGGACCCATGCGAAGTAAGGGGAACTATTAAGTTTTGCACATGTGATCAATGTTCTTGGAGTAACGAAGGGTCAGATATTGTTTTACCTAATAGTACAGTGTTTAAACCCCAACACCACTGCCAAACCAATGGCATTATTTCTTTAATCACATGTCGCATAATGCGGAGTTGGGGTACAGGTACTCCTAATAACGAGATGACACAGGGACCCATACATACACACACACACACACACACACACAATAGGTTGGACTTGATGGACATGTGTCTTTATTCAACCTCAAATACTATGTAACTATGTTGGTGTGGGGAATTCTAGGGAGGTAAAACTAAATGAAAATTTAGGAGACTTACTTATGATCACATCTGTTTAATAGAAAGTTACAAGATATGAACGCCTATTAGTATAATGTAGGTGTGTGCCATATTTTAATACCACATGGATTCGTTTTATAGTCCTTGATTGCATACATGAGGACCCTAGTGATAGAAAATATGATAAACTAATATCACAATGTGAGGCCCAATGGATTTACTCCCTGAGAGCAATTCAAGCAGTAGGAATTAAAGATTAGACCAGGCAATTCCATTTTCCCAAATTACTTGGGAAAGTGAACCTACCCTTTAATGAACATTGTGCATGTTAGAGAATCACACCCCATTGCTCACATTGGCGGATAGTTGTGTCTCCCCTACAGCCATCCCAACCTGAAGAAGAAAAAAACTAATTTCACCCATTCCGATGCCTAGCACCGAAGCTTGCGCTGTTTTTTTTTGGGACGGGGCTGGCTGTAAATCTATTGCTATAGTGTACTGGACGTGTGTAATGTATATGTAGTACATATATACAGCACATACCTCCACTACACTCCAGCAATAGAGTTACAATTCTCTGCTGCTAACATGAATAGGTTAAATCATGATCCATAGTACAGAACATGTAGTTGTACTATGGATCATTTAAAGTCACCTGTCCCTTTAAGAGAAAGTATCGGTAATTGGTATCGGCAAGTACATGAAGGGAAGTACTTGGGCCTGAAAAAGTGGCATCGGGACATCCCTACTTTCTATCTTTGCGTTTATAGAGGCACTCGATCTGCCACAGATCTGTTAAAGAGGAACTTTACTCATATCTTTACAATAACAAAACACAACTTTAAAAATGTTTAGTAATGGCAATCTACAAAACATACTTGTAGATAATTGCAGGCTTTGTATTCTTTGCATACCTTATTTCTCTTTTCTTTCCCAGTCTTCTGACAGTCGCAATGTTAACTAAGGGCAGATTACTTGCTCTCCATTTACTTCCTGGAGCTCTGGCACATGTGACTTGGACATGTGATACAGGCACATCATCTCAGGGGAAAAAAATGCCTTTCTCAGAGATCTCATGAGATTACAGATGAGATTTCCCAGCAATACTCTGCTGATGTAACCTTCCCAGGATGCAATGCTTTGGCACATTTGTGCCAGAACTGGACCAGTAAGTAGATGAACTCATGAATGCAAGATTGTAAATTGGCATGCAGAACTGCATGCTGGTGTTTGTTTTTTCCACAAAAGGGGGTTATGGTCCAATTTAAGGTGTTGACAAAACTACCTTTTCCCGATTACCATATTTCATCAGTTTATTTAAGAATGTAAAATATTAAGCCTCACATGAGACATCATTACTTTATAGGATTTTTGCTGTTCCATATTTCAACCTTGGGATAGCCATTTGGATGTTCATTTTCTGTTTTTGGCATTCAGCTCGAATACGTCAGATAAGTTATCATACCCACCAGTTAATAGGTATAATCAATATATTCCATATATTATTTTTTGCTAGATCCTTCATAATGGGGTGCACAACTTCAAAAGCATAATCATGAAGTTTTACACAAGATTATTCTTATATTGGGATGTTCACTTCTATTTTTTTGTATTCAATACATTTTTATAAAAGTTTTGGTAAATACAACAAAGCAGTAACAATTTCCAGACAGAACAAACAGAAATCAGTATAAAGGAGTAACCAAGAGGTAGATTCACAGCCCAGAAAAGCAAAACGATTCTATACCAACAAGTGGTATGGTTGTATGCGAGAATAAATGAAACCTGAGGAAACTTTAGGCAACATACAGAGTGCGTTCCAATAGCAAATGCAGGGGCAGAAACCCATGATAAAAAGATCTAAAAAGGGTACATCCAGTCCAGACAAGATCTTGAATATGTTGAGCATTGAGGTCTGTGGAGACCTAGAGTAATGAAACGGCAAAGGATGGGTAAACAATAGAAAAGAAAGGAGAAAGAGGGCAAGCAAGACTAGGGGAGAGACAAAAAAGGGGAATAGGGAATGGAGTAGGTCACTCCTGGATCTGGGTAGAAAGATGCTGCACAGGACTACCTGGGTATGATTAAAGCTCAATGAGGCATTATCAAAAGGTGAGGACTGCAAGTACAGTAACCATGGCTCCCAAATTCGCTCAAATTGGGGGATCTCGTCTGCCAAACGTACAGACAGTCTTTCAAAAAGGTCCAGTAGAGCCTCCGTCTCACCTCTTCAAGAGGTATCGAATCAGATAGCCATGATTTTGCTACAGTCTGTTTAGCAGCAGTAAGAACATGTAACAAATTTGCGTAGACTTTGTAAAAGGCCACCTGGTAGTTGGTTAAGTAGAGCCTCATTAGGCTTTGCCACCATCGGAGTGTCTAAGAGGTGGGATAAAACGCCATAGACTTAAGAGTCCAAAAGGACTGAACCTTTGGGCATTGCCATCAGACATGAAAGAAGGTACCCCACTCCTCTACAGTTATGGAAGCACAATCCCGCACGTCCCGGGATGAATGTTCATAAATGACTAGGTACCACCTATAAATCAACTTATAGTTGATTTGCAAATACTCTGGGAGCAGGTTTTGGTGGTTTACAAAATAGACTTCCAGCTCTCTTTCTCAATGGGACAACGAGACCTTTCTCCGATGCCAACATGTATTTATGAGGAATAAGCATTTGTCCAGCAATCAGATGACCATACAACAAAGAGATTAGACCCAGAGTATGCGGATCATTCTTGCAAACCCTCTCGAATGGAGCAAATGTTGCCCCGGTGGGGAAACTAGGAAGTTGGGAGGAGAGGAAGTGCTTAACCAGGTGGTAGAGAAATAGTTCAGAGGCGGGCAATTTATAAGAGTCCCCTTAATTGCTGAAACGATTTCAGGCCATCAGCTGTGTACAGTTTATACATGCATGTTGCATCTCCTGCAATCCAGTGACTGAATGCATGCTGGGAGTCACAGCCAGGTGGGAAGGATGGATTTCTAATAAAAAGAAGAAGCGGACGCTGCGGGGATTTGTGTGTGTCTCACAGTTTAAGAGAGTGGACAGTTATGGGGCTACTTAAGCTAGACCTATCCTTAGGAAGTAACCAAAGGAGGTTGTCGATAGCCAGTGGGTCAGAGTTGAGAACCTCAAGGGAGACCCACAGTGGGGGATCAGTAGTAATGTGGTGCTTCGATCAGGAAGCAAGTTGTGAAATTATGGAGGAACTCCCAATCCACCACTAAGTTTGCTATAAAAGAGGGTACGCCGCGGTATCTGGGGGCAAAGTTTCTGCCAAATATTTTGAAGAATTTGGTGTTGTAACATCTTAAACCTATAGATTGGGATTCACTTCCTTTTTAACCATTTATTTCAAGTACATCAGTAAAAATATCACATCTGAGAATTCATAGCAACATTCATAAACTAAATACATTACATTTTATATGTTACCTTAGTTTTTTATTTTTTTTATAATGGGGTGCACAGTTTCACATGCATTATCATGGTTTTATGAGTTTTTTTTATTGTAGGATCACTGTTGTCCCATATTTCATCTCATGGGATTTTCACTTTCCTGTTTGGACAGCAAACAGTGAAGTAAGAAAATAATTTTTCTTCAATAAGGTGTATTGGTGTATTTACAGGTATATTGCAGTATATTTGTATGGGGTATTAGTGAATAAGTGGAACTTGCTTTTGATGCAAGACTTGCTTTATTTTCCTGTGAGCTAAACAAATCATAAACAATGTTAGCTTTCTTCTGTAAAGGACTAATCCTCAGACTCCCATGTAATGGAAATGGAGGAGGACGACATGTTTAAAGTCCTCCTCCAAGGCTCCCTCTATAAGTACAGCGGTGTCAATGACCATAGCAAACCCGAGAGAGAAAGTTTTTATTTACAGGATCAATAGGTGAAAAAAAGCTGAAAAAATTAAAACAAAAACTTTATTTTGGGGTTTGGACACACTTTAAGTTCAGTTACATGATATTTGTACTGTGACACAATATAAGTTGTATTTACCATCTGATCTGCCAGCAGGAGCACGGTCTTCAGGCTAAACTTGCGGGAGCAGAAATTAAAGAGGTCTTCAAGACTCGGGCCCAGTAACTCCATTACCATCACATTGTAATCTCCCTCTGCTCCACACCACTTGATTGAAGGAATCCCCACTGCCAGAAAAAAGGTGAACGTCAACACATGAAAGGAGTTTATGACCCTATGCTGCAGCTCAGCTCTGTGTCGTCATGGGTAGCTGAGCACCAAAAGATCTATAGTCATTTTTAAACTTATGCAATACAGCAGCATGGGATTGTTTAACAAACTATATCCCATTAACCACAGATATACAGAATATTAAATCAAACTGTATAACAAACCAACCACTATGTAAAGAAGAAAGGTAGAAAAGGGATAAGAAGACACTATTGTAATAGTCAGAAATGTACAAGACACTCTTGCCCTGTGAAAGCTCTGTACAGCAGATAGTGTATGCGCCAGCAGCACTTCACAGAGAAACCAGATACTTCTCACCTTGTGTTTATACCTCTCCCTCCAAATTTCCCCAATAATTCACCTCCCTCCCAATACTTCACACACTACAGTTGCTTCACAAACAAGCACACAAATGGGAGGTCCACTAGACAACGACAGGTCCACTTAAATGGGGCCTAACTTAACGTCGTATGTCTTACAATTTCACAAATTTGATTTAGCCTCCAATTAAACTCACCAAATTTTCCCAAGAGAAAAAACTGCTCCCTAGAGGGATGCATGGAATTTATGATTCAGAACGGGGTAGGCAACCTTGGCACTACAAATGTGGAGAAAACTACAAATTCCATTATACTTCTGCCTCTGAGAGTCATGCCTGTGGCTGTCAGTCTTGCAATGCCTCATGGGATTTTTAGTTCCACAACAGTTGGAGGGCCGTAGTTGCCTACCACTGATCTAGATTTATAAGCAGCAGGAACAAGAGGTAAAGTCAGTAAGCTCCAGTTCAGGTGACAATATGTGCCTTATATATGTGTTAGCAACGATGGATCAATGACTAAAGAAACAATTTGGCTGATTATGTATCCTGATGCAGAGGTGTGAGTAAGTGACTAGAGTGGAGGTGGGGAAAAAAAATGAATGCACAGAACAAAGGATGATTTTGGGATGACAAAAAAATTAGGAAATGTATCATGTGGCCTAAGTGTATAGGGCTTTGTATGTTTGAGTTACAAAATTGAACTGAATTTGTAAGTGGCAGCCAGAAAAGGGATTTGACAGCAAGAAGCAGCATTGCAGGAGTGTGACAGGAAATAGATGAGCTGTACAACAGCATTAAGAATAGACTGGAGTAGCCCTAGTCTGTATGTTGACACACCACACAGGATGGGGATACAACAGTCAAACCAGGATATGCACTAGTATTATGCTGTGTCATGAATAGCAAAAGGGATGGATGTGTGAGATTTTCAAGATGGAGACAACAGAAATGGTTAGTAAGGGAGAGTGAGGTTAAAAATAAAGCAGAATTAAAGCTCACTGAAGAAGCTTACAGAGCAGGGCCATATGGTGTTGTCAACAGTAACATAATTAAGGCAGATACAAGCTGCAAGCTCCAATTTAGCCAAACTAAGGTTATAGCAAAATTAGGCTTTGGCCATTCATTGCAAGGTAATAGGCTTTCTTTAATCCCCTCATCAACAGCAGTAAATACCTACCTCTACTTCACTTTTGCTCCCTGCTCAGCAGTGGGAGCCAAAGCAAATGTCTAGTTCTGGCCCATGTGCTGGGCCATTTAGAACTGTCAAACAGAGTCCCTAGCTTTGTGTAGAATACAACAGGGGCAAAGTGTGACGTACGCAATCCTTTCTTTTACCCCTGGTGGCTGACTGGGGTAGCAGAAAGAAAATATTTGGATCTGTGGAGGTCTCCATTAAAGTGGATCAGTTGCTTTGCACTGCATGAACTTTACAGCATATGTACTTTAGGTGGTCAAGACCATAGGTGAACATGGAAAAAGCAGAGGTCTAAGAACACAACCTTGGAGAAAATTAACAGAGGCTGAAGTTAGAAATGGGAGACACTGAAAATGCATCCAGAAATGTTAAGAGGAGATCTAAGAGAATGCAAGACCTTTGCAATAGTCTAAATTAGGGATGAATCGATACTGGTTTTTTGATATCGAGTACGAGTACGAGTACCTATATTTAGGCACTTGCCGATTCAGAGTACCTATAACGGTACTTTCGGTAGCATGGAGCCGGTTTCCCAGCCAATCAGGAAGCCGAGAGGTGGGTCATTACCCGCTACTTGTCTTCCTGATTCGCCGTAAAAGCCAGCCCCATGCTGTTTGGCCGGCTTGATGCCAATTGGCAGGGAAGCCAGCTTTCCAGCCATTCAGCATGGAGCCGGCTTCCTGGCCAATCAGGAAGTGGGTCATTACCCGCGGAATGGCTTCCCGATTGGCTGGGAAGCAGACTACATGCTGTTTGGCCCTACTCCATGCAGATTGGCTGCAAAGCCGGCTTCCCGGTCAAACAGCATTCGAGCCAGACAAGCAGCATGGAGCCGGCTTCCTGACCAATCAGGAAGCCTAAACTGCCTTTAGAGGAAATCTCCCTCTCACCAGAAGTTCCGGTATCAGGGATAAGTATCAGAGCATTTGGGTGAGTATGAGTACCCGCCAAACAACTCGGTATACTAGTATCGGCCCATCCCTAGTCTAAATCCTTTTCTGCACTTCCTGAGATTCTCCTCCCAGTGCACCCTTGATAGGGAGGTCTCAATTTCTTTTGGAGAGCCCACCCCACTTCACAATCCAGAAACCTATGGAAGCATAGTCCTGACAGATTTACTTTTAGCACAGTTACTCTTTAGATGGTCTTGTTCAAAGAGTGGCTGCCTTATCTGTGCTTGAATAATAGGAATGCTTTTTTAACTTGCAATTTCTACACAAAGTTCTGGCAGGCCTTACCTCCTCCCTGCATCATCTTGTAAAACTTGCTCTCAATGTGCAACTGAGGGTGCTTTGTCTTCACACATTCCAGTTTGATGGCAACCTCCTCACCAGTGGCAATGTTTGCACCTGTGGAAACACAACACAAACACATCCCTCATGAGCTTAGATCATAAAACCTGCTTATTCAAACTTTCCAGGTGGTCACAAATAATTGTTGGTTAAACATATATTTTACATGCATGTTAGATATTGAGGAATTTTATGGGGCTTTGCAAAGCTACTAATTAGTTACAGTAGTTACAATCATCATAAGATGGGCCAATTGGAATAAAACATTTCCTAAAATATGGAAGATATTTAGAACAACATTTCCTGTATACGCTCTGACTGTAACAGGAGATGTATCATTTTTCAAGCTAAGTCACTAAGGGTCCTGCTGACAGATGAACATGTTGAAGCATTCGAATACAAATAAACTAAGCTGGTCTGCATTTACAATTTGCAGTTAGGAAAAATCTGGAATATTTTCACCTCTCAAGCACGTAAAAAAGATGGAAAGATATTACACAGGCAGACTGGCACATTCATGACAAGCACTTCTCTAAATCTGCTGAATGGGCGACAATCTACGGTTACAGAGGTACCCCCAGGTACTGACGACCAAGGTGTATCTTGGGGAAAAGTGTGGACAGTCTAGAAAAGGGATATCACACTAAGACATTTTAGATGGAAGAACAGAGACTCAAAGTTGCCTACAGTATCAACCCTTTTTTTTAAACTTTTGAATCTGAAGCACAGATATGACAGCTGCATGCTGATTGGTTGTACGGACAACAAGAAACAAATCTTCTCCATGTTGATTACATACATTTTGTAAGGGTTCTTGCATACTTTATGTGTAATTTTACCTTCTGTTGAAACTCCCACCCGCATTCCAATAATTTCTTTTGTCTTGTGCTCTAAGTAGGTGTGGCTACCTGCTATAATCACATGATCAGTCCCAGTGTGGTAATGAAAACGAATGGGAAAAGCAGGCAGCCAATCACAGCAGCAGGAAATTACATTTCTGGACAAATTCTTTACAAAAGCAATGCATTGAACACCTATAGTGCTGTTGTAGTTGGTGTGGTTAGAAGGAAGGAAGAACATATACTTTTGTCAGTTTAAGAAATAAAAAGGCAATTCTTGCCCATTCTCTTACGTGCACATTTCCTGGCCCGTTTTAGGTTTCGGGCCCACAAAGCACCTACCTGCTGCTTACCCAAAATGTATGTATACTTTAATGCATGCTTTTCTGTGCAGTGGGAGGATAGTGCAGTCCTTTACTCCATGCATGTATGTCGGGTGCCCTTGAAGAAGAACTCTAGGCAGAAGAAAACAACCCTTGCAGTGGGGTACCCCAGCACTGCAAGGGTTAGCTGATCATTTTTGTCTAGGGTCTAAAACAGATATGCTCATCTGAACCTCGATCCTGCCTGGCTGCTAGAGCGATCCCTAACCCCAGGCCCCCGGCGATGAAATGCGTCTGTGTCCTCATGTCCAATACACTGTATGACTCATGGGTTCTTAGATCGTTTGAGAGGAGGAGAGAAGCAGTGGGGAATGGTCTAGAAGCCAGACGGGTCCAGGCATCGGGTGAATTTTTAAAATTTTAGACCCTAGACATAACGAACACTCAACCCTTGCAGTTTTCTTCTGCCTGGAGTTCTTTAAAAATGTATGGCAATGCCCAGCGCGCAGCATATGCAGTTCGTTGAACATTATGACCAGTAAAACACACAATGCACAGATGTGCAGCCATCCTAATGTTCAGCCAAAAGAAATCTACCCGCTTTAATTCCTTAGCCACCATCAGGACTCCCCAGGTGCTGGTCTAATAGGAGCGTCTCCACCTTGGAATGTAGTAGTATACGAACAGGCCGCACTATCCAGAGAATTCCAATACTTCAGACTTTATTGAAATTCACAGCAAATCCAGTGCAACAGTGTATGTAACAGCAAATACCAGCACCGCAAACCCCCAACCAGCTACAGCGCAAAGCACGCAGAGTGCAGAAACCTACGACCACAAATTAGAAACTATTATTAAATACCTTGCGTACCCCTTACTGGTCAAATATGTAATTTCATTCTATGCTACATGTAACGGCATATCATTGCTCCTATACACCCTCTCTCACTAGATTTGTAAATATTAGCAGCCCTCTTATAACCAGCTAGGCTTCATTTTTAGGGGTCCTTTCATACAGTATTCCCTAAAGATATTTAAATTCACAGAACTTTATTTTTAACCTTTTGGCATGTATTCCTGGCAGGGCCGGTGCTAGGATTGTAGTCAAGGTGGGCAAGGTGCAATTTTGCGCCCCCCCCCCCTGTAAAAACAGGGCATTTTGACAAGTATTGTACCTGTCAAAGTGCCCCGATGTTTGCGCTATGTTTTTTACAAGTACGAGTACTTGTCAAAATGCCCTGTTTTTTCCGCCCTCACCCTGCAGCGCCGTAAGGCGCCCGCCTTACTTGCCTTGCGCCGGGCCTGATTCCTGGCACTGAAGACATATCAAGCTAGGAATAACTATTTGTTTTTTTTAACATTCAATTGTTTAACAGAGTTTAATCTTATCTCCATGGCAGGCTTATGTGTCACTAATGACACACTGTAGCTGTAATTACAATTTCAATAACCAGGCACACAAATGTTGTATGAAAAGAACTTCAAGGGATCAGCTTTAAAGTACCTATTTACCTTCTACAGAAAGGGCCTAATTACCACAGATAGCCAAAGCAGTTGGTCTGTTCCAGACTTGATTACCACCTAGAAAGATCAAAAGGTGGCTTTACCTAAGCCAGCTGCATTAGTTAAATTGTACGTTAACCAAAAATTCAAAAGTTAGGGACTACATTCCTCACAGAAAATATTTTGCTTTCTTTTTATTTGTAGAATAAATGCAAAGCACACAAAATACATTTTAATTTAATATATATATTTTGCGCCACGGTCTCAGTGATAGCACAGAGCAGACGAATAAAGGAAGTTCTTCGTCTGCTCTGCGGGCTCTATGGTGAGCTCCCGTGCCGTGGTGACAGGTCCACCAGAGGATCGGGGGACACCCGAAAACCACGGGATCGCCGATTCTCGCTTCATACAAGTGATCTGATTACATCACTTGTATGAAAACGAGCGGCGGCTCCCACTGTACATTCAGCTCTGCTTGTCCGGAGCAGGGCTGAATGTATTAAAAAACTACTTGCCCGGCGCCCGAAACTGCCTGTCCCGGGCGTCGGGCGATAGGAATTCCACACCCCTGATACCCCTTACCTTGATTGTAGTAGCATCGTTCCTTTTTTCTAAAGTCGCAGCACATCACAGATAAAACCCTCAAAACCTGTAGTAAATGGCCGTCTTCAACCCTGCTCCAAGCTCCTTTCCTCTTAGGGGGCGTTAACATTTGATCCAGCCCGCCCACGGCTTTTTTTTCAAATCATCTCATTGCTGTGGCCGCGCTTCCTCTCATCGTGCACAGCTGTGTTTTGTCAGCTCGTGCACGCTGGCATTTGTGAGCGGGAGGCGGAGTCTGAAGTGAGAAGGCAGCAGCAAGAGACGGACTCAGCCTCCCTGCACATTCAGTGCTCTTTCCCCTCTCTCTCATCAGCGATCCCCAGTAATTAGGATGTCAGCATAACACAGGGGGAGAGAGGATAAAGAGCCATCCCTCTCTCCATCATTTACCAGAAATGGGCAAGTCCATATATGGTGAATGATGTCACTGGGTATCCCTGCAGACTAGCAAGCATCCGATCAGCAGGGATCCCCAGTGACATCATTCATCATATATGGACTTGCCCATATGTGGTAAATGATGGAGAGAGAGAATGCTCCTTCCCCTCTCTCTCTCCCTGCCCAGAGTGATGCTGACATCCTCAATTCACATCGCTTAGCCCCGCCCACCACCTTAAATAAGGGTTTACAGCCTTACTGTGCATTTTGGCTAATTAGAGTAAATTACATAATTTACTTATTTAGCCTAAGGAATGCCTTAATAAAGAAAAGATAGAACCCCATAGTTCTGTTTAAGTTTCAAATACATATATCCAGTGGCGTAACAACCGGGGGTGCAGCAGGGGCGCGGGCCCCGGGTGAAAAGTGAAGGGGGGGGGCGCCGGCCGAAAATGGCACTTTCGGCTAAATGCCGAAAGTGAAATTTTCCTGCCGTTTTGCCGGCGCGGCCGTGATTCCTTTCATCCCCGCTGGGACACAGAGCAGTGCCCAGCAGGGATGAAAGGAATCAGAGAGAAAATGACAGCCGGCCGAGCGCTGCGGGACGAGCGCTGTGAGCGGCCGGTGTCTTTCCTCCCACACCGCTCGGCCGCCTATCACAGTGCAGCAGAGCGGTGTGGGGCGGAGACAGCCAGCGCTGTCACAGGAGGCTGGGCTCTCCTCTTGCAGCCTCCTGTGACAGTGTGTGTCAGAGAGGAGAACGGGTACAAGCACTCAGCGATCAGTGATCGCTGAGTGTTTGTACATAATTGAGGACCTGGTATGTATACTATATCCTCAATTATGAATGAATGGGAGTGATCTATATCCCCTCCTGTTCATTCATAATTGTAGTTATAGTAAACATACCATGTTATCAATGAACAGGAACACTCATAAAGGATTCCTGTTCATTGATAACAGGGGACACAGAAAAAGAGATTGAGGACTCTGTGTCCTCAATCTCTTTTTCTATTTTTAAAGGGAAATATCAGGGGTCTGTTTAGACCCCCAATATTTCCCCGAAGCCCCTAAAAGTAAAGTAAAAAATAAAAATATTTAATAAAAAATTAATTAATAAATAAAAATTAATTTTAAAAAATGAAAAAGTTTCTAAAAAAATAAAATATTAAAATTTGAAAAATTAAAATAAAAACATGTGTGTGTGGGGGGGAGGTGCAGGGTACAGTTCCAGTGGTTGTTTATATAATGGGGGGGGGGGAATTTCTGCCCCGGGCGCCCAGAACTCTGGTTACGCCACTGCATATATCCATTAAACACTTAAAACAATATCAATCACACATAAAGGTAATATCACAAAACAAGATCACCAAAAATCTGGAACCATTATACTAGCAAGACCTATATGCAT